AAAAATGTAACTCACCGGCCTAAACGACGAGCAAACACTCGAACGTGAGAGCAAGGGATCACCCAACAAATGGACGAGCTCCAAGGAGGGAGGAGAGAGGGAGGCAAGAACTATGCTTTAAGAGAAGTGGCGGTCTGAATCCACGCTGACAAAATAAAATAACAGATTAAGCCGTACCGTAAGGGGGGCATTCTCCACACGGGACGGGGCCAAGGCCTTCATGTATGGGTGACAGATCGGCCATAGGAGTACTCCGGGATATACACCAGGGCAACTAATGTCGAGCATACGATGATGCCGCCCGTTTTCATTTCGTGAAAGTCCCCGGCAGAGGAAAGGGCTGTAGGTGATGGCGCGTTCTGCTTCTTAGGGCGATGAAATCGTTCCTATGGGATCGTGCATGGCAGCTGGTATAGATGATGATGAAAGGCAGGCCGCTTGAACTGGGACCTATTCTCATAATAGGCAGCAAGCAAAGCTAAATAGGAAAGGGGGCGACTGATGAATGTCTTTTTCGTCAGAGGGTGGAATTTGGAGCTAATATGGCTGGCTACAAGTATAGCCAAAGAAAGATGAGACGAGACGGACTGTCAGAGGACGCACCGGGACTACCAGGGGAAAGCTAACATAGATATCTATTCTCGGCACGCATATTTGAGATTTAGAATCTCTTTCCGACCAGGCCAGGCCGAATCGGGCCACCACTTGGGATGGGAATGGCTCAGCCCACATGCATCATTTGATGAAAACACTCCAGTCCAGTCGCCTCCGATCAGTGGCTTGTCAACCACCGGAACGTAGCTCCTCACCAAATGCCCCTGCGTTGGGGCAACACAGCACATGACTAGTTCGCTCAAGGACCACACCCTCTCGAGAGCAGGATGCCGACCGAGATGGAGCGCCAACCTAGACTTTCCTAGGGCTTGCCTTGCCCCAACATCTAAATAAAGGGCGGGCGCCGAAAAGGAAGCAGTGATGCCTTTTCGACGAAAGCTTAGCTTGGTAGGCGCAGCTTACTCACCCTACTCCCTTAGACAATGCAATGCTCTGAACACGAAAGTTTGCACTTCAGCCCTCTTCTCCCATGCAGAGTCGGAGGCAACGCCTCGGATAAAAGCACGTACGAGCCACATGCGGGGAAACTTGCACGTGTGGTTCTGGCCGGGGACCCCGGTATACGGTACTGATATGTGTAGGTCCCTGTAATTCGAGTGAGATTGTCATGGCGCAAAAGCAGATATGGTCCGGTATTCCCTTGTTCCCTGTATTGGTTATGTTCCTTATTCCTCGTCTAGCAGAAACTAATCGAGCTCCGTCTGATCTCCTAGAAGAGGAAGCTGAATTAGTTGCAGGCTATAATGTAGAATATGCGCGGGATGCGATCCTTAATAGTTCACTGTTGGCGGAAGCCAATGTCTCGGGGACTCATTCTGACTGAAACAAGGGGTGGGTCTTTACCAACTTCCAAATCCAAGCTAGATTTAGGGGGAAAAAAGAGGGGCAGGGCACTCTTCATTCTTCATTCGAAACTCATGAATGTCAGGTCGGAGGTTTTTGCCTTGTTATCAAAAAGGGGAGTTGGGTAAAGCAAATTCCCTCCTTGGACGAGCACGGTGCTTAGTCAAGTAGAACCGGGTTGCGCTGCTTGATGCTCCGATCGAAAACAAATCAGTGGGGCCATGCCGGTACGACAGAATATCCGTTAGAAAGGTCGATCCCCCATTCACAAGGTCTGGGTCCATCCATGAAATCGCTCCCCTCTCGCCGCCGGTGGCAAGGGCCTCGGACGTTTCAAAGAACGTGATTCCTGACCTGTGTCATCCAACAAAATCATTGCAAACATGGAAGAGCGACGGGCTTAGCCTAAAGCATCTGAAACTGAAAGCCATTTTGATAGCAAGAGCAGGTAGGTCTAATTTGCGGACAATTGATTTGGATGAGCAATTTATGTTCCTGCCAACACTACCAACAAGCAGGAAACGGCAGTTGCTTAAAAAGGCAGGCACTTACTAGTAGTGTTTACTCCTCGACAGAAACAGAACTGACGGCTGAACACTACACATCACATTCATCCGCATAAACAGCCTGCGAAAGAACAACTCACATGCTGGAGCGGTACAAGCTTCAGGTCTCCAAGCAGACAACTTTCAGGAGGAGGACGTCCGGCCAGGCTAGTTTGTCTCAGGGCAGCAACAAACAGCCCCTTGAGTCCTTGACCCATTGCATAAATATGCCTAGACTCCCTAGTTCCAAGCATAAAAGGTATTCCTGGATTGCCATCTTTGCGTACCTCTAGTGTTGTTAACTGGTAGACAATGAACGGAATGCTGGAGAGAACCACAGTTAAGCACACATATGATATCTGAACAGGTAGACGGTTGCACAACGAAGTGGCAAAGTTTTCATGAATAAGTACCAGGAATATTTATCAACAGCATGAGCAATAAAAACATAGACATCTACTCGGTGGTGTTAGAGCAACTCCAATGAGGCGACCCATTTCGTCCGCCCGCGTCCGTTTGGGTCGGCGTGGACAAAAGTGGCGGCCCAACGCGCCGACCCAAACTCAAATCGTGCCCGTCTGGCGTCCGCGCCGACCCATTTCCGGCCCAAAATTGCACCTGAAACGCGTCGGCGTGGGCGCGAAGCGAACGCGCCGCGCGTCTCCTCGCCGTCCGCCGCGTCCCCACCTGGCGGCCACCCAACTGCCACCGGTCGTCTTATTTATGACGACCACCAACAGCGGGCCCACGCGTTAGCCAGTGCGCGCGTCCTTTTTTAACCACGCATGCGGCGGGGTCGGCTTCATCCACTTCTCCCGTCCACATCTGGCCCCCCACTACTCCCTTTGCTTCCTCGCCGGCGACCGCAAACCCTAACGCGCGCCATGGGCCTCTTCGGCACCGGCAATGGCAAGGGCAAGGGCACCCCCGGCGCCTCGTCATCCCATCCTCCCCCTCCCCCTCCACCGCCGGCGCGTTTCCGCCCTGAACGCCGGCGCCTACACATCCCGGTGCACCAAGCGCGGTGGCACTGGGAGTACAGGCAGCCCCTCCCCTACCCCGACGTGACGCTGCCGCACCATTGGCATTTGGATCCAAACCGGATCTCGGTGCCAGCGGTTCCGCGGTCCCAGCGGGCGCACGACGACGAGGTGCGTCGGCGCCGCGCGCTGCTCACGCCGGAGCAGCGTCGGCTGCCCGAGTACGCCGCCGACTCTCCTAACTGGGAGGCTTGGTTCGCCCTCGAACACGAGGAGCAACAGCGCTCGGGTGTCGACGTCGTCCCGCCGCCATTCCCACCGCCGCCCCCGGAGGTAGAGCCGGAGGACATGGAGGCGGAGTACCAAGCCGCCCTCGAGAAGACCCTGCAGCACGCGCTGGAGGCTAGCCGCATCGAGGAGGACGCACACTGGGATGGGCTAAAGCAAGTCCTTGCCCTGTCGGCGGCGGGGGACTCCGTCCACACCCCGCTCTTCGTGCCGCTGCCTCCACCGTCGCCGCCCGTCCAGCCCAAGCCGGAGCCGGAGCCGTCGCGTAAGCGCTCCCCGCCTCCACCCACTTGGCCGGAGGAGGCCTACTCGTGGACGGGCCAGTACCGTGAGTGGGTGAGCGCGCCTCCCGCCCACTTCGCCGCGACGCCGGAGGAGGAGGCGGCCCACCTCGAGCGATGGAAGGAGCACTGACTCCGCCAGAAGCAGGCCGACGACGAGGAGCAGATGCGCTACGAGGCCATGCTCCAACGCGGCGCGGAGGCGCTCCGGCTCGAGGAGGAGGAGGAGCGCGCGCGGCTTGCCGCAATGCCGCCGCCCCAGCAGACGCCGGAGGAGGCTACCCTGGCAGCGTACCAGGCGGCGTTCGGGTGGGCTGGCCCTGCTCCGGTCTTCATCGACCTCACCGACAACGGCGTCGAGGGCAAGGGCAAGGGCAAGGCCGACGACGTCTAGGGCAGCGTGCGGGGCGGCAGCAGGCGGGCGCAGACTTTTTTAATGTTTTATTTAGTGTTTATTAGATTTAGGTGGACTTTGGCCGGCGTTTGACCGGCCACTTTATGTTTAATTATGTTTATTTTATGTTTATTTCGTGCAACTTGTTTTTTTTCACGCCGGCACATTTAGGTCGGCCTCCCCGTTGAGCGGTCAAGCCGACCCATTTTAAAATGCGGACGCGCACGCCCGCCTGGCCGACCCAAACGGACAAAAAGCGGACAAAGCGCGCGTCCGTTTGGGTCGCCCCGTTGGAGTTGCTCTTATTTGCCACATACATGTGCATATATTCTATACAAGCTATGTCAAACATACAATGCCAGATCCAGCGTTGATGTCTGCTGGTTGAGGCAGCTGCTTGTCAGAGAGGGAAAGGGGTTGGAGGAGTGAGGGTAGGGGAAGGGCTGCAACAAGTCGACGCACCCACAACATTCATCCACTAAGAGTCAGCGAGAGAAATCCTGACACAATAGTCAATGCAGTCAATTTCAGAGACACGTGACAAAGCGCTATTGGCCTAAAATCGCCTCTAAGAGGGTTGACCTTCTCTTCTTGAAAGGGAGCTTTAATTCATTTGCACAAATAGTGACTGGACTCCCTACTCCCGAGCACAAATAAGTGGTATAATATATGCATTCTTGGACTGCCATCTTTGCACACTTCTATTTATTGTCTGAACTGGTAGACAAAGTATGGAAGGCTGGAAGAACCAAAGGATAATCACACACATGAAATCTGAACAGGTAGACAGTTGCACAACGAAATTGCAAACTTTTCATGAATAAATACCAGAAATATTTATCGCCAGCATGATCAACAAAATCATAGGCATCTACTCTGTGGTGTTATTTGCCACATACATGTGCATAAATTCTACAGCTATGTCAACACAAATAGAGATACAATAAGGAACAGGAGAAACTTCAACAGTGGTTTAATAGAACAACTGGAAACTCTAACAAGAGGGACAGGGATAAAAAATATTAGGAAATCAAAACTACAGAACTAACCAGTGCTACTCATTATTCGGATCTGCACGAGGATGCATCCTGTTCCACATATACATTGCCATCGAATAGACACCTAATAGAGCAATCGTCAGATGCTCTGAACTGTTGGCCTTGATGCTCACTCGTCCAGTTAGCTTGTTGTTCACATCAACATGAACTGCCATGTTTGAAGTCCTTCCCACGGAGAACTGGGTATCCAAGTTTGCAGCCGTAGTCCATTCTTTATGCCACCTTACCAGTGATGCACCCAAAGTTGCAAGGCCTAGGCCCATAATGGGATAGTCTTTTTGAAGCAGGTTCAGCACCACGTTCAGTCCATGCGCAGTATCACCTTTCACAGACACAGCACCAGCGTTTGCTACCAGTGTTAACCAATTACCAACTGAAAGTTTGTCTTCAAGCTTTGCTCCAGTTATCATGGTGTTTCCTGCTAAAGTCATGGACAGACCTCCAGTAGTGGCATTGTTCTTGGCGTTCCTGAACTTGGTTTCCCCCCTGAGTGTGTAAGCAAGCTGGTCCATCATGGTTTGTATGTCGAAGCCTGCAAGGGTTGAAGCATACTCGCTATGCTTAGCTGATATCGAGGACTCCGAATGAATGGTGAATTCCCTCTTGTCCTTGTTAACTTGAACCCACATAGAAGCTGGAAATGTTTTGGCAACTTCATGGCTGTATTGGAGGCTCACACCGTCAAACCCACAGTCATGATCCCATCCTTCAGGGTTGGTAACAGCACGTGCCAGAAGGTTCGTTGCAGGCTCAAGACACCGATAGCGAAATACCGGGTCATCAGAATCAAATGAAGATGGCAAGGCCCAGTCTGGCATAAGAGATCTCTCGTTGTCATACTCGTCATCAGGATGATCATTGCCCACAAGTACATCATGATCATTGCCCTCACTCTTCTTCATTTCCTTTAATCTTCTGCGCTGTTCCTTCAACTGCTTCTTCTGAAGAAGCTTGGTTCGGTAGTCATACTCATCGAAATACAGTTTCTGCTGCTCTTTGGAGAGTTTTGCAACCTGTGATTTACTTAATGGCTTAAAGGGAGGAAGTTGGTCATACTCTTCATCCTCTTGATCGTCATCCAACAATTCATCAGGATCAACATCTGAGTCCACACTCTCAACCTTCTGTTCATTTGCACGCCTGGGGTGCTCTCTAGATTGCAACAAAGATGATAAGAAGTAAGGAAGTGGAGGCATCTGGCGACGGAGATCAAAGAGGCTTGGAGGAGCAGCACGGCGGGTTGAAAGAGTATCAATCTCAGCAACCATCTTCAGTGAGTAGCACAGGAGGAGGAGCAGACGCTTCCAGATAAGGCCATTAGGAAGCACCTTTTCACCCTCCATGTTCCTCCGACAAAGGTGATGATTTTCCACAAGAGCGACTGGATTCTCAATCCGAGCATCATTAGTGGTCTGTCTGATGCTTTGCTGAAGCGCATGAGTCCGATGGGTCACAATCATCTCAAAGTTAATTGGGGAGCCACTAGGTCCTTCAGGAGGAGGATCTGCTGCTGAGTGAGTAAGAGTGATAATGGCCTTGGACCATATTGGCAGGCCTAGGACACTGGTAATACATTGCAATAGGGACAGGTCGTCAGCACCCTGCCGTTGGGTATCGATCCGATCAACATACAAAACAATGTCAGGGGGGCATTTCTTGATATACTTCTTAACAGACTTGAGCATTTTCCTGTTTGATTTTTCATCCCTAACTGTAGTCCCAAGTCCTGGAGTGTCAATGACACGAAATTTAACACCACCAACAACTCCAGTAATCTCCTTCACGGAACATGTTGCTGGGAGAAAAGCATTTGTTTTGGATTTATCCTCGCCAAAGATGGAGTTTATTGTTGCACTCTTTCCCACCCCTGTCTTCCCAAGGACCAATACATTGCAGGAGAATTCCAAGTCATCTATTCCCTCTGCCTCAAGCTGCAAAGCCCTGCTCCAGGCATTCTCAAGCTCGGAGGAATGGTTTGCCATCCTTATGCGCCTGAAGCCTTCGACGAGACTGAGCCGATATAACACCTGTACAGGTACCTGATGTTCGGTGTCATACCCTAATCTATACACAAGACGCAAATACTTGATTCGTGCCATGTCCACCTTTATGTACAACTTCTTCTCCTCATCAGTCATCGTGCTCTCCGGGTCAGCAATTGCATCCACCGCATGAGTAGAAGCCACACTTGTCCTAGGGACACCGACCACGGTATGGGACGGTCGGATGGAATCAGAGGTTTCAACTGGAAACACCTTGGCCTTGCCCTGTGCAGGTGATCTGTTTGCCGCCCTGAGAAGCTCAGCTAAAGCTGCATAATCAAAAAGCTCAGTCTCCTTTCCACTCAACTCCTCAACTTCATAATCACCATCCAGCTGATCCTCATCTGAATCATCCAGACCAAAGTGTGTGCCCTTGGAGGCAGGCACACTGTCCTCCATTTCTTTTCCAGGAGATTCCAAAGCATTGTTTGTCCCAACGATTGGTGCAGACGCAGGTTCATCAGAAAGTTCATAATCGCCATCAGTTTCACCATCCACCTTGTGATGGCCACCTTCAACAGTAAACTGTGAGCTATCAACATTGGTATGAACTTCCGCAGGCTCAACGGTGGCATCTCTTGTGGCAACATGTTCAGGGCTGGCATCTTCAGAATGTGTGACAACCTCATGCTTGGGCGTGGTATCTTTCGCATCAGAATCAGCATTGTGAACTTCAGGGCCAATACCTTCTGCTTCTGTAGAACTGACCACATGAGGCAATTCAGCAACCTCATGCTTGGGTGTGGTATCTTTTGCATCAGAGTCATCATTGAGAAGGTCAAGACCAGCATCTTCTTCTTCTTGAGAAGAATTCACCGCAGGAGGCAATTCCACGACAACTTGCTCCTGCCGAGACCCCCCAGCATCCCCCTCTGAAGCATCCACAATGCGGGTGCCACCAGCGTCACCAATGGAAGGCTCAAGCTCCACAATGTTGACAGCCTGAGCACCAGAATCCTCAGCTCCCTGTTTACCACCATTCACCAAGGAGATATCCGAGAGATTTACCAAATCACTGAACGCAGCGCCGTCGTCCAGCACGCTCATGGAGCTGACGAAGCTCCCATCCAGCGAGCCCTCGGCGACCGCGCCCGCGGAGGCCGCAAAGACGCCGCCATCCTCCTCCAGCCCGCTCCCCGCTCCGGCGTCGACGAACACGTCGGCGGCGGCCTCCTCCTCCTCGGCCCCCTCCGCCGCGCCGAAGTACTCGCTCTCCCCGGAGGACGCGGAAGAGCCGCCCCCGGCCGCGGAAGCGGGGGGCGAGGGGGCCGTGGCCTCGTCGGAGGAGGGGGAGGGCGGCGGCGGGGGCACCCGGGCGATGCGGAAGAAGCCGTTGGAGACCTCCTCGAGCACCTCGTCCCCGGACGAGCCGGCGGCGTCGTCGAACAGGTCGGCGTCGTCGTCCGTGGAGGAGGAGAGCTGCGCGGCCACCCGCGGCGCGCCGAGGACGGGGCGCGGGCGAGGCTGGGCCACGGGGGGCGAGGTCGATGGCGAGCGGGACGGGGACGCGGCGCCGGAGGAGAGCGAGGATGCGTACCCCTCGTCGTCGTCGCCGGAGTCGTCGAAGGAGGTGAGCGGCGCGCGGATGAGGAACGCCATGCCGCCGCGCGTGGCCGGGCCGGCGGAGGGAGGCGGCGGCAGCCGAGGTGGGATAAAAATCGAGTCTTTTACGGCGGGCGGGTTTGTTTATTGGCCTCGGGTCTCCGTCCGGGAGTAGTGGTGGCAGTTGCGAGGCCGAGGGTTGAGGAGGACCGGATTCCGTCCGTCGGGTTGGTGGTGGTGAGACCGCAGCCGCAGGGTGGATCGATGGATCTTGGATGGGCTAGGGTTTGGATCTTTCGAGGTAAGAATTGGACTCTTGTTGGAGGGAAATTTGGGGTTTTTCTTCGGCTCCCCTCCTCCTTGTGTTGGACCTTTGTGGCTCTGGCCATAGGATCTTGTGGTGCCTGGTGATTTTACTTGCTTAGGAATTAGGATCTTGTAGGCGGAGCTACCGTGCCTTACTGCCGTGCAACTACTGCTAAACCCGACACAAAAAGTGCAGGACCCAAAATCGAGGCGGTAGTAGAGCGGTACTGGAGCGGTACTACTGCTTGACGCTACAAGCGGTACTACCGCTGCCGACCGCGGTACTACCGCAAGGAGAAAACCAGAACTGCCATAACTTCTTCATAAGAGCTCTGAATTGAGCAAACTCAAGCTTGTTGGATACAAGACGACGAGTAGCATCAAAACAGCGACCCTTGTTTCCCAAATGAAAGTAAACTGAAGTCTTGATATTTGCATTATGTGGTAATGTTGTTATGATAAATGTCAAAATTTGCCTCTTTATTTTCGCAAGCTCGTTATCGTGAACCATATTTATTAGGAAGATGGGCCAATTGTTCCTATATATATTTGCTTTGCTAAGGTATCCACCATCCACCAGCTGTCCCTTCACCTGCAGATCCCCGTTTCTCTTGCCCATAATGGTGAGAGCAGCACCATCTCGAATAAACTTGTCTTAGATGTTTCACCATGTCAATAGTTGATGTGGTGTCGTCAAGTAAATGTCCTCGTTTTCTTGCTCGTTGTTCACACTGGCGATATAAGTTATTTTGTGGGTCACTGGTGGTTTGCTATCTTTCATCATCAACATTTGGGACAAGATGTTGGTATAGGATCGGGATTTATGGTTCAACGACAGTGGAGTCGGCATTTCTTCTAACTTGCTTGTCTAGAAGCGATGCATCGAGATCTAAGCCAGGTTTGATGAGTTCATTCTGCTCCATTTGTTAAGTGCGAGAGCTATATCTACTCTGTCTCGCAATAGGTGATCGCGAGATGGGTCGTCCCAATATGAGTTCCTCGGGAACGGGTTTTAGGAAGCGTCTATGACCGATTCAGATCAGTTTTAGTAGCTTCCATATGGATTTTTTTTCTTTTTTATGTGTGTTTTCTCTTTCGGTTTTCTATTTGATTTTGGTTTTCTATGTTTCTTTACCGATTTTCTTCCTGTGTTTTTTTCAATACATGTTGTAATGTTTCTTGAAGACATTTGGAATATTTTTATACACATTGGTCATTTTCAAATACATGTTAAATATTTTTTAGATACACATCAAACATTTTTTTAATGCCACAAAACAATTTTTAAAAATTACATGAACATTGTTTTCACTGTAGTAACATTTTTACGAATACATGTTACATTGTTTTCGAATAAATATAAAAAGATTCAAATACATATTGATATCTGAATGGTATGAAATATATTCAAAAAATATGTAAATATTTATAAAAATGCATTAACATTTTTCAAAAAAATCATGAACATATTGTAAAACATGTGAACATTCTTAAATGACACGAATATTTTTCAAATGGTGCAAAATAATCCCTCCGTCCCATAATATAGTAGCATTTTTACACCTCCATCCCATAATATAAGAGCATTTTTGATGAAGTATTAAACTACATGAGCATTTTATTTATAATTTTCAATGTTTTCAAATGTCATGAACATATTTTCTGAAATATTTGAACATTTTTGAAATGTCACGGACATTTTTTTTGAATGATATAAACTTTTAAAAAAATTGTGTGGACATTTGTTTTCACGGCATGAATATTTTTAAATGTGCGATGGACACTTTGCAAAATTGAAGTAACTGTTTTTGTAATATGTGTATTTAGTATATTTAAAAAATATAAAGAAATAAAGTTAATAGTAAAAAAAGAAACAGAATGAGGCCATCACTGAAATACTGATGTTACTAGTAGAACGCCCGTGCGTTGCTACGGGCTTTTGAAACAGAATTACGATGTCAATAGCGGATTCTATGGCCATGTGTTGCTACGGGCTTTTGAAAAGAAGTTAAGATGCTAATGATGGAGCTAGCTAAAATAACCGAGAACAATGTCATCTCAACTAACACGACAATCAGCTAACACACTTCATACTCTCAAATCCTCCACAAATGTCCACGGACGCGCCCGGTCAATGATCGAACAAGAGAGAAGGAAAAAAGGTGGTCCAACCACACCCCTCATACCGTCTCTAATGTCCTATACGTCCGGTTTGTCCGCAAACCCTCTATTGACACCATATATGAAGAGGATATGTGGGCTCGCGGACACGGTCCATCTTTCTTTCTTTTCTTTCTTCCTCTTCATCTCCACCAACAACATGCAAGTGAGGGAGAAAATGTGGAACATGACTGCATGCACAGACAAAAAATGGCTCAGAACGGATACAATCAGACACTGACCAGGCGCATCCATGGATGTCTAGGGGGCGGATTTGGTAAATCCAGCTATAGATGCTCTCTTCTTGACAACTAAATAAAACATGTTTTTTATTCCATAACATCATGAATACGATCCGACGGATACCTAACCCAAGTTTTATATATAACTTATTCGCACAACCCTCCTCCGCTAGCCAATGAGCGGATCCATAAGCCAAGCATCTCACCATGCCACCATGTACCCCTCCCTTGATCGCATGTAATTCTTTACCTCATCGATAGGGCTATAGATTGAACTATCAATTTCTGAGCTTCTTAACTTAGAAGCCACCGTTTCTTGAGTCCGTCTTCAGGATAAGCTTTGCCAAACTAATTAAACAAAAAAATACCATACCATATTCGAATGCATAAGAATTACCTGTTAGGCTAAAATTACAGAGAGCATAACTTCTCCCTCGATTCCAAGTTAATTGAAATCCAAAGCAAAACAAAACTATGTATAATGCCATTTGCTACTTAAGACCTATATATGCTGACAAAGAAAATATCGTTCTTTGTGCTCTATTTATTACATATAGAATAGTAGAAAAAATATTTGATTCAGAATTAACTTGGTTCAGAATTACAAGATCTTACACAAAGTAAATATCATTCTTTGTGTAATCAAACTATTTGATTCAGAATTACAAGATCATAGGCATTTAATTACAGAACCAATGAGGCCGTGTTGACTATTACTCCCTCCGTACGAAAATACAAAACATTTTTGCAATTCAATTGAACTGAAAAAAAGTCTTATATTTTGGTACAGAGGAGTATATCTGATCACTTTTGCAACCAAGATCTTCCTGATATACTTTTGCAACCAAGCTCTTCCAGATATAAGCACGCACACTTTAAACCAGATCCGCACACCAAATGAAACAACCATTTCTCCCATTTTCATTCTTCTAGAAATCCAGCAATGGAATTATGATATAAACTGCTATGTTACCTTTAGATATAGGGTCCTCCTTGAATTAACTACAAAAGAACGACAAGAGGAAATAATTAGATTCTTAGTACATGTCATCTCCAAACCTGCATAAAGCATGAAAATTATTAATTGTACCCAAGAAAAATGTGGGAACATCCTGAATAGTAAACTAAGTAGTAATTAACTATAAATCTAACACCTGGAAGGGTTCTGGTTATATAAAAAGTTACACTCTTATACAATGAGAGCAGATGGGAGCGGGTTTCACATTACATATTTCAGTGGCACGAGAATTATGCAACAAAAAATTGAAACTCTGAAGTAGGTAACTGGGCATAGAGTGCATGAAATAAGAAAGACACATGGCCTTCATTAGTATTCATATATTTCGTGTGTATTCGTTGCATATGAATTGGGTATATTATTTCCGGCTCTGAGATAAAAACCTATTAAGGATAATTCATAAGGACGAAAACGAAATGTCATAAATTACTGTTTAGGATATGCAACTTACGACAGAGAATTATTTCAACTACCAAGTTTGATTCTAGTTCCATCCTGCAATACGAGAAGAGGCAAACAAAAATTGCGTATCAGTAACCATGTGAGAGAGTAGGTATACTTTTTTAAGATTAAACATTATAACAATAACAGCAATGACTTCTAATGCATTCCACATTTCTTGTGCTGACAATTGATCTGTGCTTATTCCCAATAACACGTTCTAGTTAACAAACTGATCTAATTAGTTGAACATGTGTCCCCTTTGCACACAATCAGAAATTCACAATATAGTAAAACCGCAGCAGGCAACACCACGTTAACAAACAACTGATTTGATTTTGAATCATCTCTACTGAAAATACCATGCAGGTATGCACCAGGTCATAAGCCAATCTTCCTACTGTAAACAAACGACTCCTCCTCCCTGGGCCTCCTGCTCCTCATGTGTGAGGCCGTGCAGCTCATCGAGCTCTTCTCCTGCACATACAGTTTAAGTTTCAGTTCAGTTCAGCTTCAGAAGCAGCAAGAGACAACATGTCGAGTTCACATGTGCAGAGTACATACAAGTGGGTACTGTTGGGGAACGTAGTAATTTCAAAAAAATTCTTACGCACACGCAAGATCATGGTGATGCATGGCAAGGAGAGGGGAGAGTGTGATCTACGTACCCTTGTAGATCGACAACGGAAGCGTTTGGTTGATGTAGTCGTACGTCTCCACGGCCCGACCGATCAAGCACCGAAACTACGACACCTCCGAGTTCTAGCACACATTCAGCTCGATGACGATCCCCGGACTCCGATCCAACAAAGTGTCAGGGAAGAGTTCCGTCAGCACGACGGCGTGGTGACGATCTTGATGTACTACCATCGCAGGGCTTCGCCTAAGCA